GCCCCAGAGGGAGCCATTATCTTTATTATACTGGACTGCAAACAAATCTGTCCTCCATTCTGAAGGAAGACTTTATTTTCCACAGTTATTTACCATACATATATTTTTGAAAATATAGTCTGCAAGAAAATATTGCAATGCCTCTGCTTGCAAGACATGGCGTAAGTGTGACACACCCTACTTCACCCCCATTAGGATGACTTAGGATGACTATTATAAAGGGAGAGAGGGAGAAAGGAAGAAAAGAACAAGTGTTGGAAAGGATATGGAGAAATTGGAACATCTGCACATTGCTGTGGGAATGTAAAAGAGTGCAGCTGCTTTAGAAAACTTTATCGTGGTTCCACAAACACACACAAAAAAACCAAAACTGAACAGAGAATTATCATATCATCTGGTAATTTCACTTCTAGGTGTCTACACAAAAGAACTGAAAGTAGGGATTTAAACAGATACCTGTACACCAATGTTCACAGCAGCCTTATGCACAAGACCCAAAAGGTAGAAACAATTGAAATGTGCATCAATAGATGAACAGGTAAACAAAAGAAAAAGAGAAGAACAAACAAAATCGAAAGTCAGTAGAAAAAAAGAAATAAAGATCATAACAATTAAATGAAACATAGACTAAAAACAATAGAAAATATCTAAAACTAAGATCTGGTTCTTTGGAAAAACAATACTTTCAAAAAGTAGCCTTTCAAAACATTCTGAAATTAAAACTTTCATCCTTCATCTCTATGACTCCAGCTTCGTAACACTGGAGGGGAAAGGGTATGTGTGTAGGAGTATGAAACCACCTACATCTATATTACCAACCCCCAAAAGACAGAGAAAGCACAAAAATGTTATAAAACAACATTTATTCTGTAATACTTTATCATAGTGAATTGCATCTCTTTGGTAAAAATAAACTTTATAAACAATTTAATAATCAGAGATTAGATACAAAAACTAAACATTTATTAAGTTGTTTTTAATATGAGCAAAGACTGGCAACTAAGAAGTGGTTCACTTGGACTGGTCATCTACTTACTGGCAGTTATAACTCAAACTCAGGGTAATTTTTATGCTACATTAGAAAAATGGATAAGGACACAATTTAATAACTCAAATTTCTTAAATCAGAAACCATTCTTAATTTTCACTTAAAAATAAATAATAGTTACAATGAATTGGCAATTACACATTTTTATACACTATTTAATGGCAACATAATACTTTAAAATTAAGCACTTAATAAGAAATGTACAACAATTTTGACAATGGCACTGGCAGTCAGATGCAAAAAAAAAATGTGCTTTAAGAAAAAATGGCAGGTATAACATTAAAATACTTTGTTTTTCAGAAAATAAATATTTTGACTACATCTTAATGTATTGAAGCAAATTCTGTTTAAATCAAAGCTTATATAACATTTCAAACAAAAAAAAACTATAATATATATATATGTAAACCAGAAAGCCTCAAAGTTTCTTAATTAAATGCTATGGTCTTCACAAAAGGTTGTTAAGCTACTGTAGTATTTAAGACGATAGTCTTTACAGCTTTGTGAAGTATTCACAACCATTGCTTAAATTGCTGAGAAAGGCCTCCTGGTCTACCAAGATACACACACACACACACACACACACACACACACACACACACACACACCCCCCCTCAACACTTTCTCTAGCTTTGAATTCATGCTAACATATATTTAACTGACCACCTGGTCTACCAAGACACACACACACACACACACACACACACACACACACACACACACCCCTCAACACTTTCTCTAGCTTTGAATTCATGCTAACATATATTTAACTGACCACCTAGTATGACCCTTTACACAATGCCTCAGAGAGTAGGAAAAGAAAAAAATATGTATATTCTAAACTTTACTATATACAAAGGAATCAAAGTTAAGAGAAGCCATGCTGGTTATAAGGAGGATAGGAAAGGCTCAAAGGTGGAAAAAAGGAGGTGATCCATCAATTCATTTTCCATGTAATGTTTTCTTTCTCTGAATTTGAAAAGTAAAATAAAACATGAACTAATTGAGTTACATATTGCACAAATAAATTTCAAAAATATATATTCATGAAACACTGATTCTATTTGGGATGTGAAAGATGAAGATTAATTGTTAAAACTTCTACTAGGAATCTATCATAAACTGAGATTGGCTGTAACAATTTATATTGATGCGAGGCAAATTATACATTAGCTTAAGTCACAATTTTAAAAGACTGAACCTTTTCAGGATTTCCAAGTTGTTTTTTATTACAGTAAAATTTGCTAGTAATATATTCTTAGAAATTTAATTTCCAGTCCATAGGACTAGAAATGACTTCCCTTAATTGGGTGGTTATTAGCATGTTTTTGTCTCAATACACCTGAGGAATGGGATTATGTCTATGGAAGTAATAAAGGGGGATGGTAATTAAAAAGGTTCTTCCCCTTAAAAATAACTGCCTTGGTAAATCAGAACATGGAAAGTGATACAATGAATTCTATGTAAGAATTCAATAAAGCATCCTGTAACTTCTTCCTGTTAGCATTTAGTGTGAAAGTTTATTGACTTTGCTAGTAATGAACATAACTTTTAACTTTTAAATTTGTTGTAAGAGCACATGAAGAGGGAAGGAAAATCAAGTTTAAAAGTTATTGCTATTTATATTAAGACAAAAATAACTAAAGATCTTTATTTGAACCAGGAATGACTTTCTCCCTTCCTTATATCTTAGATCATTTTCCTTTACTTACAAAGACTAATGATCTAATGGACAAGAACCAGAGAGAAAACATTTGTAGTACAGAATTTCAGTTAACAAAATAAAGTGGAACCAGATCATTAAAACACTGTTAATAAGGTCTATCCAGAGGACCACAGTCAACAGCTTAAAAATATTTTGTTATTAAAATGACTTTTATAATCTGTGTACTATTTGTGTTTGTGTGTGTCTGTGTGCCAGTCTCTCAGTTGTATTTGACTCTGCAACCCCATGCGCGGTAGCCCACCAGGCTCTTCTGTCCATAGAACTATCTAGGCAAAAATAATGGAGTGGGTAGTCATTCCTTCTCCAGAGGATCTTCCCCAGGAGTGAACCTGGGCCTCCTGCATTGAAGGCAGATTCTTTACCACTGAGCCACCAGGGAAGCCCCATGTACTATTTACACTGTGGTAAAAACAATTTAACAACTGTTGGTGTTATATTCACTGTGCAGAGTAAAAGATGTTAACTTCGGTTAGCAATTTTCTGCAGCAGATGTGATATATATGAAGAACAAAAAATTCAATACCTCATCCTGCACACTTATTACCAATAAATTGAAAGATTATTATTTTCAACAGCAGCAATTCTATTAATGTGACTATCCAGGTTCAACCACAGTTAACACGGAAACAGGACAGAAAAAGTTGTTATCCCTGGCTTAACGTCTTGCCAACTGAAAAAGACATTTTCATTATGCTTCTCATTTGACAGTTTTGCTCAAACTACAAGTTAAAAGAAAAATATGTCTTTAAAAAAAAAATGCTTTATCGTCATAGAGACAGCCGAAAGTAACAAACCAAAATCACAAGCTTATGTGTGTATGTATGTGTATGTATATATGAAATTATCAGAAAATAAAAACAAAGTCATTGTCTATGAAACAGGATGTAGCATAAGACTGAACTTTTAGCAAGCTGCTTTTGCCATTGTAAAAAAATACATTATGAATAAGTTTAGTTTTACTACTATCCTTTGTCCATTTTGAATGATACAGTCAAGCTATACAAATGATATGAAACAATGTGTATCATCTAAGATTTGTTCAAATACTGAAAAAGGCCTTGGTCAATACACATTTGGAAGAGTAACAAAATCTTTTAGGATGGGTTTAATGGCACGTAATTACACTGCTTCCTTAAAAGGATGTAAGGCATTTTATCTCTACAGTTTTGCTAAATCCTTTAACTTAATTGGGTGCAAATACAACTTTAATTCATACAAAGCTTGAATAGAATTCTTTTCCTAAATGATCTACCTTTATTTATGATGACATAAATAGCACATATTCAAATGTTTATATTAGATTACACTCCATTTGTGTAATTTTCAGAATGCAGTATATTTAACAAGCCAATGAAAGATCCTCTTTTTGCAAAAGTGCCTAAATGGGACTCCATGGCTATATCCTTTCATTGGATACTTTCTCCTCAACAAAGACATCTAGTGGCAAAATCAAAATAACAGTTGCAAAGCACTTTGGGAAAGAATAAATGGCTCCAATCAAACACTATGGAATATCTGGAAAGTTAAAAAATTTGAAAAAATAATATTCTAACAGGAATTGAAGTTCTTAGATGAAATTACATCACAAAATTGCCTTTTCTAAATCTTAGAACTTTTTGCTATCTCTTTGCTGATGTATGCAAAAGGAACTTTCTGGACATTTAGCATCTTTTCCAACTTACATTCAACTTTGTTCATGTGTCAACAAAAAATAATTAAAAACAAAAATTAAGACAAACTAAAATATTCAAATCTCATCCTAGTGGATTACATGTGTCAAGAACAGAGTATGGGAGAAAGAAAGCAGCAAAATTTCTAGCTGGATCAGCAACTACAGTTAATTACAGATAGGAAAATAAAATGAAAAAAAAGTTAAGAGTTGCCAGTTCTTACACTTGGACATATTAACAGAACAAAAGACTTCCCTACAAATTTAAGACAGGCTTGAGACTTTTTTTTTTAACATAAAATTTCCAATCTTGGAGACACTTATCACAAAAATTATGCTTTTAGGATTTCACATCATATTGATGATTGGGCATGATCCTAACAGCAATTATTTAATAAAAATTCAAAAAACAAAAATATTTTGAAATAAACAAGTAATTAGCACCCCTCCCCCACCCTAAAACAAAAGTAGTCCATTATGGCTTTGATATCCCTTGTAAAGAATTAAGTAGAAGAGTATTGCCACATTTAAAAATAATTTCACACTAGTAAGTATTTCTATTTTTTCCGCTGCTTTTGATTCTGTGTCTTTGCAGTACTTATTAGGGAACCTAGACATGTACGAATACCAGCAAGGTGGAGCAGAGATCCAGCTGCCTCTTTGAGCTCCTCATCAATTTCTTGACATGCCTGTTTTCGCATCTTTTTGTCTGGCTGCCCCTTTTCAGTGGTATCTGCACAAGCCTGCGATGCATAGCCACTGTCTCCAAGTGGATCATCTTCATAATCAACGTCTGTGTCTTCTTCACTGCGAAATCCTTCACTGCCATCACTTCCTACGTGGCTACTCTTTGGGATAAATTCATACACCTCATCCACAGAAGACAGAGAAGACACACTAGACCTGGACGCACAGCGCTGTGCTGCCATGCTACTTGCACTGTAATTGTGGTCTTCTTTTGGATCAGTGCTGGTGGCTAAAGAATCACTCTCATGTAATCGCATAGTACTGGAATGATTAAATGCATTGCTATAACTCCTCTTTTTTTGCATTGTTGTTTTAAGAGGCAGAGGCTTCTCACCTGTGGAAAACAAAACTTCCATCAGTAAATCAAATGCATCTGACTGCAGAAACAGGCCATTTAAAACGATTCTATCACTCCTGAATAAGTGCTTCAGACTGGCGATGTTTCGCGGGTCTTTAAATTTTATGCAGAGCATCATCCTGTAGGAATCAATCGAAAATATTTTTAAACCACTTAATGGTATGTCTTGACCTTCCCATGGAAAATACAATTATCTTGAGCTGCTTGCAGAAAATGCCTCAATATTAATGTGTCACTGGTTAGCTAACAATTTACTTGTTGATATTTAGGTTGTTGCCAGTTTTTCACTATCACAATACTGCAATGAAAATCCTCTACATGCCTTTTCTTACACATATGGAATTTTTCTAGGAGAGATGAAAAGAAACAGAATTACTAAGTAAAAAATATATACATTTTAAATTTTGGTTGGTATTTCCAAACTGCCTTCCAAAATAGTTGTATCAATTTATATCCTACATTACATGACAACACCCAGTTCCTATACTTAACCCCTAATATTATCAATCCTTTTAATTTTTCATAATCTCATGACAAAAAGATATTATCTCAATATTGTTTCAATTTGCATCTCCTTGATTTCTAGAGATGCTGTATCTTTTCAAATGTGCGCTGTCCATCTGTATATTTCCTCCTCCAAGGCCTAGCTATTCACATATTTTGTTGAACTGTTTTCTTATTTCTTACTTACAGAATCTTTTTATGTTGTGCACATATGTATACTCAACATGATTCCTTTGTCTGCTACATACAGTGAAGAAATACGTCATCCCAGTATTATGCTTATGTTACTTTTCTTACAGGTATCTGCTGTCGTCAGAACTCTAAATAAGAGTTTGATGCTTAATTAAATTTACACAGCTTTTATGGATTTTGCACTTTGTATGTCAAAGATAGCTTTTCTCATTTCAAGGTTATAAGCATACTTTCCATGTTTTCTTTTTCATAGCTTTCATTTTTACTTTTATTCATTTCTTAAAAATATTTATTTTTATTTATTTATTTGGCTGAACCAGGTCTTAGTTGCAGAACATGGGATCTTCAATCTTTCATTGTGGCACAAGAAATCTTCTGTTGCAGCATATGGGATCTAGTTCCCTAACCAGTGGCTGACCCTGGGTCCCCTGCATTGGGAGCATGGAGTCTTGCCTACTGGACCACCAGGGACATCTCCATTTTCACTTTTAAATCTTTAAGTTTAATTTCTAAACATGCTATTTATTTCTCCATTTCTTGGCCAATGTAACAAGAATTATCATAGCATTAACCTCAGTTTCACAACCGCTCACATAAATTAAAAGAAAATAAAACAGAAACTAAGCTATTTAGATGAAAACACAACCTACCTAGAAAGAAGAAATTTTGCCTGTAACACTGAAATATTTTGCATCCTAAATGACATTTGAAAGGTGCTCACAAAAAAGAAAAGTATGATTGCTTACATTCCAAAATTCCTTGTTCTATAGAAGTATTTAAAAGCATCATTGCAGTGGCAGCATCAATATCAGATTCTAAAAAAGGAAAAGAGTGATAATATTAATGTTCTTTATTAAAAAGAGGTTATTATAGTATATGCGTGTACACAAAGGTAACCAACATTAAGGTTTTGGTATATATGTAATTTATACATGCACATATATATATAGATATTATATATATACATAGACACAAACACAAATAAATGTATAAAATGAGACTTATTATTTTGTAATCTACTTTTGTTCACTTAAAATTATGAACAATACAGTATAAAGGAGAATTGGAAAGGCACTAGAGATAATGAAAGTTTTCTTCTTTCATTACTCACAATGAAAATAAGAACCTGAACTGAATTTCAATAAGGATTGCCCTTAAACAGATTAAATTAGCTAAGAACACACATAAATATTAGCACTGTCTTTAGTCATAATTACATGCAAGCCTATAAATACTACAATTATGGATATTCCATAAGAAAAATGCATTTTAATAGGCTGGTAAAATCAGCAGGTTTTATTCCAGAGGTCATTATGCTCTCATATCTACTTTTGCACTAGAAGTTCCTCTACATCTTGGCAATCTGTTAGCCTTTATAATCGTAATCAAATAAAAGTAAAATGGTATAATCTAAAATGTGAAGGAAAAGTTAGAAAATGTTTACAAATTTTAGATTATAAAGGATAGGCTTAAAACAAGACTCAAAAACATTCCATTTCTGCCTCAAAGTTGGAAAATTTTTATTATCCCCAAATCTTAATTTTTATTTATAATATCTAATTATAAAATTATCTTAGATAATAAAGCCATGTGGATAGTGACTTGTTTCCTCCTCATCTTGACCACAAACTCTGTAAAGGCAGGAAATGTTATGACCTTAAAAAATAGGTTTAAGTAAATCAGAAGATTGTTGCTATGAGAGAGCACATATTCTTCTCCCTTGAATAAAGTATGATCTCATTAATCAGAGTTTCTATATGAATGTCTTTCCAATTAGACTGTCAGCTCCCTTAAGGTAAGAATCATGTCTTATTCTCTATATTCCATAATACCTGAAAAAAACAGTAGTTCCCTGATAAATGAGTGAAGAATATATTGCATCTCTGCCACATCTCCTTTCTTTAGATTAAGCTGATTATCACCAAATTACTAAGCCCTTGGCATGTTCTAAGTATTATTAAGTCATCTCACTCTCATAAGTTTATGATGTGGTACTATTAGTATTTTCATCTTAAAGATGAGAAAATGGACAAAGAGGGATCTCTAGGAATGATAGAGATGGGATTTAACCCGTGCAGTCTACCTCCAGAATCCAGGCCTTCAATTTGTAATCTCATCATTCCTCAACACTTATCAAGTATCTATAATTAGAGTAGGAAATTTTGCAGGAAATTATAGAGTATAATGGAAATTCTCTATTCTGTACTCATTCGATAAATTGAGTGTCCTATCTCACACTCCAGGCTGAAAACAAAACAGGAAAATCCCTGACTCTCAGAACACAAAGAAACACAACTTCTGAGAGATAAACACTAGGGAGAAGAAAATTAGAGGGAAGGAAGACAGAGAATGTGGGGAAAGGTAGTTGCAACTTTAAATACAGAGGTTAGGGAAGGCCTCAAGGAAAGATAATATTTGAGCAAAAACCTCAGGAAGGTGAAAGAAAGGAAACCATGATGATATTCAAAGGAAAAGCATTTTAGGCAGGGAAAAAAAAAATCAAGTTAAAAAGAACAATCAATGATTCCCACATGCCACAGCCATAGACTCTAGTAAAACGAAGACCTCTCCAATTCCCATCTTTTAGAACGAGACTTGACTATAATAGAGTTCAGTATTCTAACATGTCTTTAAAGAAAAAAAAGCTAGTACAGCTCTAGCCCATATTGTATCTCTGTGTGAATTGGAAAAAAAGCAACTGGCCTCCAGGTGAATGCCTCTCTAAACCAGGGCACACAGCTTGAGGACTGGGTGTGGTCCAGTCCTTCTGAAGTCAGCCCACTCATTGTCTCAGCCAGGTGTCCTTCGTGCAGGGCGCAACCTGGGTGGCATTATACTAACAGAGAGACTTCCGTTCCATGAAATAATTTTATTTTCTTTTAAGAAAAAAAAAATCTACTTTTTTTTTTTAAAAAAGGGGGGAATAGTGGTGAGGGAAAGAATCTAATACTGAAATGCGTTATAACAAGTAAACAATATCAGGAAATTTATTAATCTTGTAAATGAAGCACCTATAAAAGATTCTTAACTTTAAAAATTAGTATATCTTTATAGTTAGTGTAGGGGCTTCTCTGGTGGCTCAGAAGCTTAAGAATCTTGCCCACAATGCGGGAGATCGGGTTTCGATCCCTGGGTTGGAAAGATCCCTTGGAGAAGGGAAAGGCAACCCACTCCATATTCCTGCCTGGAGAATTCCACAGACAGAGGAGCCTGGAGGGTGACAGTCCATGGGGTCTCAAAGTGTCAGATAAGATTAAGCAACTAACACTTTCACTTTCTGTAACAGTAGAAATGACAGGAAAACTGTTCTTTAAATACAAATTCTTGTAGGAATGTGTTACATCCAAATTAATTTGAATAGTCCAACATGAAATTACTTCTTTGCAAACGGATTTTATCTACATCTGACTTTGTTTGATTCAGAATATTTGCTAAATATGCTTCCCACAACATCTTGTCAATTAACTCAAAAAAAGTTAAAATTCACTGTTAAAATAAGCACCAGAGAAATGATCCCATCTGGTAATCAAGAACACCTGACTATCCAATATGGTACTGGAAGTGCGGAGTCCAAACCACTGAACCACCAGAGAAGTCTCCTATCCAACACTGTAAATCAACCATACTTCAATACCACCACCACCTAATTATCAATGATTTGTCCAAAGTACATTCTTGAACTTCTTGGAACAAAAGCAACAAAACTGTGTAGATCTTACAATTCTTATTTATAGTACCAAATCAGTTTGGGTATTAAAATTAAACTTAAGACTTACTTATTGTCACGGCTAAAAACACTTTATAATGTTTTTTTCATTAATAAGTATAGGGTTGGTTTGTTCAGGTTTTTCCATAATATCTTACTGAAAAATCTGAGAAAACTTTTTGGTCAACTCAATACTTTTTGCAATTTTAAAGATGGCTTTGTGTTCTTAATAAGTATACTACTAGCTATATTATCTAACATATTCAGTTTATGAAGAATGAAAATTTCATTTTTTTATAAAGTCTTTTGTATATATTTTCTCTGACACTATTTAGGTTAATCCAATAATTCACTTCCAGCTTAAAGTCATATGTCAGAGCCACGAGAGCCATCCAAACAGTGAGTTAATAATAACAATGACCTGTTAAAAGTCATATTAAGCAGTATTATATAGTTCCCTTTTTATCCTTCATAGATCTGACTAGAGTTCAAAATATGCTACTGATTTAATAACTGGTTCAATAAATCTCTGTCAAAACTGTTAACTTATGCTTCTTAGTTTATACTTTCTTAGCCTTGATGCTAAGAAATTATTAACAATAATTGAGAGAGAACTAAAGACATCAGTTTTAACTATGTGAAAGTAAGAGTTATAATAAGACAAACAAGTTTCTATTACCTGATTCTCAGTCCATTTGCTTAAGGAATGATATGAGAACCACAGTGGGAGAATTTAAATGATTATAAGCCAAGTATTAACTATAGCAGGATTTACTGCCTTTATCAAAACCAGTACATACATTAACAGAGCATCCAAACAAGGAAGCTGTTTTTCATGATTCTTAAAAGTAGGAGAGCGATTTCAATAACTTACTAGTACGTAAAGCTGTTTGGACTACCAGTTTACTTTCATTTTAGTTAAGATAAAAATTATGATAATTTGTAAACTTAAATTTGAAGTTAGATTTGCATTTAGTTCCTACCTTCATCATTAACTATCTGAATTTTATATTTGCTTGTAATATGCTACATATACTTTAGTGCTTAAGTATAAATACTAAAATTTACTAATTAGAATATGGTTCCATTTTTGTCTTCTTTGTTCACTGATGCATCCTTAGTGCCTAGAAGAGTGACTAGCACACAAGTGCACTCAATAAATATTTTTCAACACATGAATTTACTACGAACCCACACCAAATCAAAATATTGACCAAAAAAGGTTTTGCTCTGCTATCTCAGTATGAGATTTCTCTGCCTCCTGCTGCCTGTTATACAATACTGTAACATTGCTATTGGCCAGATGAGCAAAACAGAGGAGACTTAAGCTCTGACAAATCTAGACAGTGTATTAAAAAGCAGAGACATTACTTTGTCGACAAAGGTTCACACAGTCAAAGCTACGGTTTTCCAGTAGTCATGTACCGATGTGAGAGTAGGACCATAAAGAAGGCTGAGTGCTGAAGAACTGCTGCTTTCAAACTGTGGTGCTGGAGAAGACTCATGAGAATCCCTTGGACAGCAAGGAGAAAAACCAGTCAATCCTAAAGGAAATCAGTCCCGAATTTTCATTGGAAGGACTGATGCTGAAGCTGAAGCTCCAATACTTTGGCCACCTGAACTAACTCATTGGAAAAGACTGATGCTTGGAAATACTGAAGGCAGGAAGAGAAAGGGATGCCAGAGGATGAGATGGTTGGATAGCATCACTGACTCAATGAACAAGAATTTGGGCAAACTCTGAGAGATGGTGAAGGACAGGGAAGCCTGGCATGTAGCAGTCCATGGGGTCGCAAAGAGTCAGATATGACTGAGCCACTGAATAACAATAACAAAGTTGGAGCCAACATTGAAATTTCAGTGATATTTACAAAACACAAAATTGACAATGTCACCTTATCCTTAAAGACCTTCAGTAGTTCCCCTAACTCCTCATATCCGGTAGAAGTGCAGGCTCTGAAATCAGAGTTCCTTCTATACCATTTACTAGTTGTGTAACCTTAAGAAAATTACTTAATCTCTCCAAAGTTCAATTTCCTTATTTGTAAAAGGGGGTAACAAAACCTCAAAGAGTTGTTGTAAGGATTAAAAGAAATAATGCAAGCAAAACACCACAGTCAGAAACTCAATGTAAACTAATGTTACAGTTACAGGAAGAAGTTCCAACTCATTATGCTAAAGAAGCTCTCCTTGATTTGGCTAATGCCTGCTTAAACTTTTTCATTTGCCTTGCCCATGCTAAACGATCACATCTATAGCTACAGGACCAAGGCTACTTAGTCTTCTATGCTCTTAGGTTTCAGCCATGCTTACCAACCCACAGTTCCTAGCAACTGTCCCAGACCAAATCTCTAACCAAGGTTAAGTATCCCTCCAACTTTTGAGGCCCAGAGCTCAGGCAATACACTTTCTTCTCCAAGAGGCCTTTCCCAACCTACCTCTAAGCTTAATTTGCCACCCACTTCCTTTTCTCCCAGTATATTCTGTATAATTCGAATCAATTAAACAAGAATTAATTCTTTAATTAAACAGTATATTTTCTAAGACTAGGGCCTGGGTCTCTTTCTGCATATCCCAAGGCACCCAGAGTTCAGTAATTAGCACAATGGATGAATTCAACAAGTACTTGAATGTTTAATCAATTTACTGCTGTATTTTTCAAACTCTTCCCTAGAAATAATATCAAGAGTTAAGAAAAAGCAAATTTCGCCAGAATCTATGCATATGTGGTAAATCAACCTGATTTAAATATAAAATTTCTTCAAGTTTTTCTGTGGTACAGTATTTCATTTTTCTCCTAAAACTTATGAGAGATGATGGATAATACATATAACTCATTAGATGAAGAAGTACCTATGCTCTCCTTGTGGAAGCTGATCCCCAAAGGAAGAAGGAGAATTCAGATGGAATAGAACAAGAACAAGAAGAAATTCTAAATAAACCCCAGAATTCACAAGAGAAAATGTTCTCAAAGCATATGAGCTAAAGCTTAAAAGATTAAGGGTCAGAATTTACTGAAGTAATAAAAAGAAAAAGGAAGTTTCAGCAATACCTAAACATAAAGAGAGCACATTTACTCATGTAGGTAACAGGAAAATGGGTACTTGATATATGTTCAGTCACAACATTATCTGAGGCAGACTCCTAATTCCATTAACTTCTTTGCAGAGTTCTCTTAAGCTTTTCACACTCTTTGCCTCCCTTATTTTACAGACCATCATATGTTTCCTAGGTTTGGCTTAAGAGTCAAAATGTCTCTGATACACAGAAAAGCTTTTCATCTGATAATTTTTATTTTTATAGGTCAGAGTTAACATCTGCAAGCTCCAAAGCAGCAATGTGAGGAAAACTTATGTTAGTATATCACTAACCTATAATATTAATTATGAGTAGAGGAAAAAACAACTAATTTAAAATTTTGATCTACTTTTTAAAAGTCAACCAAGTTCAAAAGTTAGCTTTTGAAAGCTTATTGCTTTCAAATTATAGTTCTTTACACTTATCTATAAAAGAATTATGTAGAACCATCCCTAACTCAAAGGCCATAACAAAATGAGTGGCAGGCCAGATTTCACCCATAGGCCATAGTTTGTCAACTATTCTAGTCCGACAGACTTGAAAAGATAATTCAGTACTTATCGCATTACTAAGAAATATTTCCCTATTTTCAAGGAAAAGTATACAATAAAAGGAAGTAAAAACAGGGATATAAAACAGTATACACAGTATAATCCAAGTACTTGGAGAAAAAGTGTGTTTGGGAGGTGGGGGGAGTGGTATGTGCATGTATGGGCATGCATGCAAACATATCTACTCTTGTGTAAGGCATAAAAAGGACCAAAGCAATTATATTAAAAATGTTAACAGCAGAGGGGCAAGATAGATAGGGTAGGGGATTAAGAGGTATAAACTACTATGTAAAAAATAACTAAGCTTCAAGAATACACTGTACAACACACGGAATACAGTCGATATTTTATAATTATAAATGGGGTATAACCTTAAAAACTGTGAATAACTATGTTGTATACCTGAAACATACAATACTGTACATCCAGTATAGCCCAATTAAAAAGTTAACAGCAAATAAAGGGTAAGTTTTAGTTTCTTTTTATAAATGTTTTTTTATTTTCTAAACCTTCTATAATGAACATGCAATACTTTTACAATTAAAAAACAATTAAATAAAAATTCTGATTTTAACCTGAGTTCTTACGATTTAAAATACTGATCTGTCACATACCTTTGAGAGTTCGCACCTGGTTCTGCTTGAGTATAGAGCTTAAGTAGTGAGGTGATAAAGAACCACTAAAAAGAGATAAGACAAGCACACTTATTCAAAAAAAAACTTTATTTCACATTTTTAAAACTTAGTTACAAATACAACTAGTTTGTACAATAAAAAACAGTTTTTACCTTGTTTTCTTTGCTAATACTATTCAGTTTAGCAAGAGTCTGCCAAAGCAGAAAGAGCATAAGATCCAAGTTTAAATCACAACTATTTGGGCGTTCTTAGGCAAAATAATTAACCCCTTAGTTTCTTCATCTGTAAAACAGGAATAATTAAAACTCCCACATAGGGTTGTTGTGATAATTAAATAAGAACATTAAATTTAAAATGCCCAGAACAACAGACAATACATAATAGTTACTGTTTGATTCTACACTGGATGCCTAAGTTTGATAAAATATTAATATAGGTGCTATTACAGAAATGAAAGTGTTTATCAAAACAATGTTTAAAGAAGACTGTATGGTGATGACAAAAAAAATAAGTTCCTAATTTAATTAAAAATATCAATTACAAATTAAAATTTCTATATTTATGAAAAAGAGACCAGCAGTTTTGTTTTTTTTTTTAATTTCAAAAATTTTAAAATATTTTTGGAACAAACTTTCCTCTTCTTTGGAATTTGTGATAGTATTTTAAAAAAAAATCTGTTTAGCTAACTAAATTAAAAGTCTATTTCTTAGTCACAGTTTCATATACACTATAGTTCATTCTCTTCCTCAGACTTAACCAATTATGGCATGAAAGGGCTACACAAAGGCATGTCAGATGGAACTGTCATTTTGTCAAACAATAATAAAGAGAAAATGTTTCTAAAAATAGTTTAAAGTCAAAGATTACAACCTCTATGCTGCTGTTTATCTACCTGTTTTTAAACCACAAAATCATCTTTATTTAACATTTAAACATATAAAAAATGAAAACATGAAAATGTATCATATCAAAGGCACAGGAGAGTGTATTTCTGATGGTATACAAAAAAAGTGTGCTAATTCTCCCATTTAATTTTTAATTAAAAAAAGCACTGCTAAATAAAACATAAAAGCAGTATCAGCAGAACTTACCATTAGTTTCCCAACTATTGTTCTTTTAAACTAGGACATCTCATAAGCACCAACACTAAGGAAAGTATTAACTCCCAATCCATGAGAATATAAACTCTGATAACATCTTTTCGGAGTTTCATTTCATAAGGATAAACTAGTTCTTGTTACAATCATCCTTCTAATCTACTAGTATGGTAAATAAACGTAAAATCTCAATAAGTATGTATGTATATATATTGCTGAAATTTCAACTTTGGGCTAATTTTTTAAAACTGTATCAGCTATAAACACTCCTCTAAAAGTTATATAAAAATACTTTAATTCCTTAAACACTACATGAAATGTTGGTAACTGCTGCAAATGGGAGTTCACGCTTCTACTTTTGTGTATGTTTCAAATTTTTCATTTATTATTTTACTAAAAAGCTTTAAAAAACTTTTATAGACTACCCTTTAAAAGTATTTTGACAAAACTGTCATTTTCAACTCAAATGAATATATATAATAGAACTTAAAAATAAAGATTCTGAAGGCTTCTTTCAAAGGCAATAGTCAGATTTAAAGTCATCATTTTCAGATTTGACTTAAAATGGGAAAGCTATAAGATTAATTTAATGATTACTGAGTTAAAAAACAAAAGCCAAGGAAAAGCATATTTGCCAGTAGAAACAAATCAAATAAAAATCCAAAGCATTATTTTACTTGACATTTAAAAATTTGAGACTTAAATATTAAACATGCTGTGAAGGAAAAAAAATCTTAAAATAGAAAAACGAATGTAAGTGTATATATAAAAATGCTGCAATGACAAACAACTACCTTATTTAAAAAATTTTAAACATACTACTACTTTCTTGTGTCTTTAGGTCAGTATTAGTATTGCAGACAATGTAAATGATCTGATCTTTACAAAAAGGTTTCAGGTTATACCTGAACTTATATTATCACTATCTTCAGAGTTTAGTTAGAATATATATATTATTAATTATTAATACATTTTCCAGAATTTATGCTCTCAATTACCCAACATCTCGGTTCCTAATAAGTTAAGACTATAAGTAAAAATGCCTTAGTCTAATGTCTTATCCGTAAATAATTCTCTATGTAATTTAAAAAAAAAGATAAAAAAAACCCCACAACTTTAAGTTATTCCATCTCATATAATGAAATCTTATATATTGCCACTGACATTTACATCTTAAATCTTGTACCTTTGTGGTGATGCAGGAGGGCTGTAAAATGTGGACTTTGAGGAGAAAGGTTGCTTCTTCAGTGCCTGCATAAGGTTGGGTTTATATTCTGGATCAACACACCATAAGGAACCTTTTCCATTAACCTAGAATAAATTACATAAGAATTAGTAACCTGGAATCAGACACAAAAAGTGTCTTAATGTTTTTCATAAATGTGTGGGGGAAAAAAACCCCATAGCACCTTTTGAAACAATGCAAACACTGAAGTAAACTTGCTAGCAATGAACTGTGTGATTAAAAGCCCTGGAGGCAGACAGCCTGGGTTCCTATCTCCAGCTCTGCCATTTACTCGCAGAGTAAATTTAGGAAGGTAATTTTAGGAAGGTTAACTAACTTCTATTTCTCTGGGTCATTATTCCCATATTTGGAAGGTACAGATAATAACAGTACCTGCCTCATAGGGTTGTTGCATGGATTTAATTACACGTAGAGTACTCTGCACAGTGCATGGTGCATAGGGCCACAAGACCACAACACTCTAGGACACATCATTCACATCACAGTTTGTGAGAATGATACAACACCAAGCTATGCAGAGAACAGAATGAAGGGCTATGCATGATGGCCCTTCAATTAGGTGGTGTCATTCCCCCCAAAAGTGCTAAACAATATGATACTGGGTGATGCATCAAAAAATAACTTTTATGGCATTAACACTAGTGTTTATTTTCCCATTTAAACTGCTTAAATTCAAAGCAAACAATTTAATGAAGAGATGGCAAAAGTCTCAGAGAGTAAAATAAAAAACTGAGGGATGGAAAAAACTCTTGTTAAAGATAAAAAAAAGAGGACTAAAGACCATCCCTACCCTCAAGATGGTTAAGTTACAACATTTGAGGCCCTTCTGGATAATAAGGTAAAGGGTACACAAGCCCAGATTTCATGGAAATAATATAAATATTATAAAAATCTAAAAATAATATAAATATGGTTATTGGAAACTAGGGAAAATATAAACAGAAGCACCCACTAAATGGTAAGTGAGAGATGCCTCAAAGAATGGCTTGCCTGCTCCACAGTTCCCCTGATATGAAGGAACAGCTTACTAGGAAGGTAAGCGTACAACACACCTGAGGAATACACTAAAATGATCTAATGTGCAGGGCAAAGGCCAGACCAGGAGATAATTCCTTCAGAGAGGTTTGAAAAATTCTGCATATTTTACCTCCTTCCTTCTTAGACGGTCACACTACATATTAGCAGATTGGTGGTGGTTTAGCTGCTAAGTCATGTCTGACTCTTGCAACCCCATGGACTGTGGCCTGACAGGCTCCTCTGTCCATGGGGATTCTCCAGGCAAGAAAACTGGAGTGGTTGCCATTTCCTTCTCCAGGGGATATTCTCGACCCAGGAATCAAACCTGGGTCTCCTGCATTGCAGGCAGATTCTTTACCGACTGAGCTATGAGGGGTCCTAAATAGTCTTGCTTTAATTAAACCTGTTTTATATTAAAAATACTGATGTAACTGATGAATTCTTATAGAATATACTTTCCTAATGTTAACACTGAGAAATGGGTTTTTTTGGTAGAAAAAACTACAAACATTGATTAGACCATGAAGAAAAATAAATCTCATTTAAAGGTCACTCTAGTGCAAAAAGAAAAAAAAACCCAATAGCAAAATTCTCTGATCACTTGGAAATTTATAAACACTCTTGAATTTAAAAAGCTATCCAAACTATAATTACAGATTATAAAAGGCATAAGAAAAACATAAAAACTAAGTGGATGTGGTCAAATGCACAGACATTAGTTAAGCTAGTTAAATGAAATAACTGAAGGATTTCAGGAACTGTAACATCACCTGCTAACTCTTCCTTAAGGATATATCTATCCTATTTCTTTAGCTGAACATCCATCCCTATCTACCAACCTGAACAGTCTGACTAGAAGAACAGCCCTACAAACGTACCACATGGACCCACAGCTTACATATAGAAGCCCACAGACATGCAAGCAGGAGGAGATTCAACTGCAAACTCATCCCACTTTCCAAGAGCTAAACACCACTTGCACAGAAGTTAAGAGTATAATCCTTGAAGAAGAATACCTACCTTTGGAAACCTGGCTCTGTCACTTAACAGCTGTGTAACCTTTAGAAAAATGTCTATGTTCTCTGTGCATTAGTATGCCCAAAATACATAAAAAACAGTACCTTCTGGACATAAGCCCTTAACACCAAATACTTCTATTGTTACGTTTTATGTTCATTTTCTTTGCAGTTTTAAAAACTGTTCCTCTTTCTTCCAGTCTAATATCATTGTTTTTATTCTCTAATAATTTGTTTTTCTGTTTCTATTACACTAGATACTGACATTAAACTTTAATAAATATTTTTGAAGATATTTAATCTTTTGAAGATATAAATGTCAAGTTAAATATAAGGTATAACCTGAACCCTTCTCACCATGGTGTACAAAATTTCCTCACAAGATTAGTGAGATTCAAACTGCTACTAATTTTTTTTACATTATACCTTTTCTATTTCAAAAACCCCTTTTGAAAATTTGAATTATACCTCACAACATTAACAATTATCTAGACAACAATAAAACTGACCTGTGTCTTATTCCCCTGTTCCTTTCTGCTTATACAAAATCCCATATGATGTAAGCTATTATGATCGCTGAAGATTTAATGTGATAAATTCCAGGGTGCTTCCATTTCCTGAACTGTTTTCAAGGTAACATTAGTCTATTACTGAGGTTTTTTTTTTTTTTAATCTCTGAATATCATGTCACAACTACTATAGCAGGACAGTTTAGTGAAGGAACAGTTTCACAGGTTTTAAAAGCAAAATCTTAAAACACTGCTTATTGACCAGCTACATGACATTGGACTAGTCATTTAATCTCTGTCTGTCCTCTAATTCATATTTTATCTGTAAGAAAACAGACCACTTCACTGAGTTGTGACGAGATTCAAATAAGATAATTTTTATGTAAGTGACAGAGCTGCAAAGTAAATGAATACTAAGAGGTTATACTGAAAATGGCAGAAAGTCAGTTTATGTTCCTCAGTTTATGTTCCTATTTTTTTTCTTCTAAGAGATGAAGCAATTTTTAAAACATAAACAGTAAGAACAAAAATTAATTAATTTTGAATATGAGACAAAAGTTACAAGAATTAAACTGATAAGGGGAAAAACACTTTTTTGCAAGGAAAAGTATGGTAATTGAGTGTAAGGCAGTTTTTAACATCCCAGCAACTTAAATACATTGGAAAAGAAAAACCATGGGTGTCATATCATACTGTAATACAGAAAGTAACATACCATCCTATCAGGTGAAACCTTTTCTGGCCTATGGCAGCAAGATATCACATCAACTATATTGAAATTTTAAGTTTTTCCCAAAGGAAGTCAAATTTCTACCCATGTATTTTTGAATTAAGTGATGGGCCATCCCATCTTAAATTACATGTATTTCCAATCACTTGGCCTAAGTGGTAAGTGTATTCTGAAGGTAGAGAAATAAAACTTTAAAATGATAGCACCCAGAGTATCCTTTGTCCCCAAAGCACTTCAGTTTCATATAGAAAATAAATACACAAATTATTTTTCATATATAGACTAAGATAATTATTTTAATGATTCTAACCATGTTCTATCTTGGTATTCCTGAGATTATACTCCCAGAAGCTATTTAGTTCAAATCTACTTTTAAAATTCTATTGTGAGAGAACTGCAAATTGTTTTGATCATAGAAGAATTGGTATTTCCTTGAAATAGCACATTGGAAGCACTAGTACTGAAAACTTGCAGTTCAGGGCAGTTAAGTGTCTTGAGTAAGGTCTCCAAATAACTGTCTGTTTTGTGTTACCATGGCAGCACTTCCGTTCACTGAGCCCGTTCACAAACTATCAGTAACAAGATAAAATTGTGTATTTGCTAATCTATGTTTTAGAATCTAAAGCAAAAAGCTTATTTTTAAATCTAAGTCTCAGTTAAAAACTATGCCTCTTTATTAAGTTGTGCTTAGATGACAGAACACAAATAATAAAGAGTTTAAGAAGTGTTGTTTTAAAGTGAATATAACTATTACAAGACATGTTTTTTTTGTGCAGTGGAAACAGGAAATGTGCATTCTCTCATGTACTATTTTGCATTTTGAAACTCTAAGGCTTTTGGACATATTTGGTAAAGAACCACCAAAGGTTTTGAAGAAATAAGGGATATACTGAGAATTGAACTTTAAGATTTATCTTAATGGAAGTTGTAAAGAACACTGGGAGAAGAAACAATGCTCACTATTCCTGAAATGTTTTTATGTACCTGCACGGTACACTTTAATACTTCCACACACACACCACCCCCCCCCCCGACTACCTTTTTCAGTGGTTTTTAAAATCACTGAATTTAAAAGGGCATTCATGATTCTTGCTCATAGTGTGAACTTTTAATGGTGGCTTGCATGACTTCATTTCTTGGGATTCAGCTATTGAAGCAAATCACCACCACGAAAATGTACCGCCTGAAATTGTACTAAATCAGGCAAAACTTCTGATTTCACGTTCCCCAGCTAAAATCTCACATTAAATATTTCAGTCTGGCTTTTATAACAAAGTTTGAAAAACAGATTTTAAGACTTCAATGTTAATGTTCAAAACATAAAAACAAAGCAAAAACACCTTGCCTAGCTTTTCTGATTTTAAAATTCACAAATAACAAGCCAAGATTTTTAGGCCTATCTTTTGAGAGTGGTAACTATGGTATGGATGAGGGCAGGGAGCTAAGCAGCAGCCATAGCAGGTGACCAGATGTCTGTATCAACCTGTAGTTTGACCTGGACCTTTGTCATCTTGCTTTCTTTTTTGAGATTATCATCTCCAGACAACAACTATTCATCAGAAAAAGTGCTTTTCAAGGTTGCCAAACTTAATGGAAGTAAGTATAACTTGCGTTTTGCAGGTTGAAATAGAAAAAAAAAAATCAGTATTTTAAGGTACTGATTCAAGCAGTATTTTATTAAAAAATAAAAAATAAAAACAAACCACAAGCACTCCCAATACCACTTGAATGTATCACTTTTTGTCCAAATTTTGCATTTAATGACGCAATGTTGGCAGCTTGAAAATGGCCACGAGAGAAATATTTATCATGGAAATTGGCAAAAGTGATACCATCACCATAACCCAATTGTGAAATATTTATCAATACACCACTGTTCATATATTTTTAATTCTAATCATTTGGCTGCTACTTGATGCTAATCAAGTTTTTTTTTTCTTTTGGCTCTGAGATGCAGCATGTGGGATCTTAGTTCCCTGACCCATATCAGACCTGCACTCCCTGCAGTGGAAGTGTGGAGTCTTAACCACTGGAGTGCCAGGGATATCCCCATTTTCAAGTTTTTTTTTGCAACATTTGACACTGTTGCTCATTCACACTTAACTTACCCTTGTTCGCTTCCATTCTATTATATTTTCGCTAGACACTTCTACTGAACACCAATGCTGATGACTACTTTCTTTTATATCTTGCCACAAGCATAAATACAACAGGTCTAAAACTAGAAAAGAATTAACTGATACAGTTCAAAAAATAAAATCTAATGATGCATGGTGGAAAGAATACATCCAAAATTTTCAACATTTTCAGTCATCTGAAAGGAGAGTTTGACTGATAGGGGAATCTGCTTCCAAAATGGCTTACTCATATGTATATTGAGTCTGATTTCCTCGCCATATGGGTCTCTCCCTAGGGCTATTTAAATGTCCTTATGATATAGCAGCTGACTTCCCATACAGCTAATTGGCCAAGAACCCAAGATGGAAGCCATGTCTTTTATGACCTGGGTTCAAAAGGCACACTCTATTTCCACAACATCCTCTTGGTTACACAAAGCAGCCAAATTCAGTGTTGAAGGGGGACTCTACAAGGGCACAGATATTGGAAGGCAGGGCTCATCTGGGGGCCATCTTGGAGGCTAGCTACAACAGAGCGATCCTTAATATGCTGAGGCTTCTTAACGGCCAAGCACACAGCTGGCCTTCATAAACATTCCATGTGTAGTAAAGAATGTGTTAAATAGTAAGTTATTACATAGCAATAGATAACTAATACAATCTCCTTTAATCATAAGATAATGATGTGCCCAAATGCCTTCCCACCCAGGGTGTCTCATGGATTAGAGGCATCAGGATCACCTCAGAGCCCGTTAGAAATTAGAAAGGCTCAGTCTCTATCCTAGATTTGCTGAAGAAGAATCTGTATTTTAACAAGATCCCCAGATGATCGGTAGATACTTTCAAGTCTGAACAGCACTGTCCTATGAAATCCTTTGGTTATCTAAAGATTTAATTGCTTGCTTTTTAAACTTTTATTCCAAATAAAATCAGAGTTTTCTGCTACCAGTTGGGTTATAGAAAACTACAAAAGAACACTCCTAGATTAACAAGAAAAAAAACAAAATAATCTACAGAACCATAATTTTTTATGAGCCTGAGAATTGAAGCTGCAAGAATTTTTGAATTCTTGAGGTGTGACAGGTCCTGTGAGGAGGGATGAAACATAAGAGCTATTTCACTTTTGGTAGAGCATGGAAAAAGTGGCAGTCACAATAAATAGAATACTCAAGGGGACTTAAGGAAGACACCCTCGGAGATGGAGATAGATGTGTCGAGCCGACTATGGTCTGTGGTTGGAGCAAGGATATCAGACAAAGCTCATTCATGATCCAGGTCCTGAATGAGTATAAGGTAAGATCAGGTGTCACTCTGGGAGAGGCACTAAATCTGCCTAAGTCCTGGACAAAGCAAATAAGAAGCAAAAGCTGTCTGCCATTGAGAGACAAAGTACCCCCGCCTCAGCCCAGTCACCAGCAAAAGACAGCTGCTATTGGAAGGCAAGTATCCTCACACTTTACTGATACTAGGCAATGTAGTATACATCATGTGGAGGAGGACAGGAAATTAGCTCATGCCCAAATGCTCCAAAGATACAAAGCAGAGACCTGCTGCCGCTAGGAAATGGTCACTCACTTGTACCCAGAACTTCCCACTGATATGAGGTAACATTTACTTTACCATGATGGGAGTGGACAAGAAACTGTCTTGAATGCTGGAACAGTGCTGTTCAAAAGGTATTTATACAATGACAAAGTATCCTATATTTGTGCTCTCCAGTATACCAACCACTAGCCACATGGAGGTATCTGGTTATTGATAAGTGCAGCTCTGGGCTTCACTGGGTAGATGGGAGAGTCTGCTCATGGAAGAGACAGGGAAGTCCCACACTTGAGGCAAAGGCATACAATAAGCCTGCCTGACACTGAAACTGGAGACGAACCAACAAACCTATCCTGTTCACACCAAGAACCTTGCACCAAGTAACAAGGAAGAACAATGTATTGCTAAGTGAGGAGCAAGAGTACAGAGAGAAATATTTAACTCCCCTCCCACTTCTAAGCTAAATGTGTTACGAACTGAAAGGTAAAGGTGGAGTAGAAAAGCTAAGAAAAATCACCTGACATTCCAGGCCTCACACTAAGTACAAAGTATCAGCAGTCTCTCCACAGGAATGTAAAGACTGTGGTATATCAAGGGTAACTATGACAACCACAAAACCCAAACCCAACTCAACTGTTAACTAGATTGATCAATACCTGTCCATACTAACAACCTGATAGAAGTAGAGGCATATCTATTTCTCGATAGAAATAACTGTACAAAGATCAATAGAAATTATCCAAATTGAAACAAAGAAAAAAGAGTAGGAAGAGGGACAGAGTAATTAAGAGGTGAGACAACAGCAAATGGTCTAACATTTTCACTTGGAGCCCAGAAGTAGGTGGTGAATCACAAGAAATATTTGAAGAGATAATGAGGAAATAAATTTCTAAGTTTAATGAATGACAACAAACCACGGATCCAAGAATGTCAGAAAAACCAAGGCAGGATAAAAATAAAGAAAAACACACTTAGACACATCATAGTCAAACTGCTAAAAAGTAGTGATAAAGATAAAAATCTTGAGGACAGTAAGAAAAAAATACTACAAACAGAAGAACAAAGATAAGAATGGCAACAGACTTCTCATCACAAACTATGCTACCCAGAAGACAAGAGAATAAGTCTTTAAAGTATTTAAATAGAAAACAAACAATGTAATGATAGATTTAAAACCAACCGTATCAATTACACTAATGTAAATGATCCACATTCCAATTATAAGGCAGACGCTGTCATATTGAATAAATAAGAATATATAAATACAGCAACAAGAATATTACAGAAACTAAGAACAGAAAGTTGGGACATTAAAAAAACTAATTATAACCGAACCACTTCTTTGTACACCTGAAACTAAAACAACATTGTAAATTAACTATACTTCAATTTTTAAAAGTTAAAGAAAATAAAAAGAAAGTAATAAACTCCTAATTTATACCTAATTTGTACCTTTAGTAGACTGAACAGAATTCTGCTAGATTTATATCAATACAGAAGAAACTTAAAAACATCTGAGATGAAAGCAAATGGTGAATAAAATTAAGTTCAAGCTGAAGTAAGCTGACTTGACTATTTTTTGTCTTCCTTTGACTTCCTCATATTTTAAGATCTCCATGTTATTTTCCCCCACCTCCCTAAATATAGAAATGTTCGTAAACACTGACCTTGCCATGGCTTCTTTCCACTTTCTGAAAACATTTATTCAGGGACAGATTATGTCGAACAGAATTCTTCCAGCCAGTTGGTGCAGTTGCAAAATATGGGAAGCGGTTCAGAATCCAGCTATAAATTTCTTTGACTGGCAAACACTTATTTGGAGAGTGTTCAATAGCCATATAAATGAGAAGACTAAAGGAGTATGGGGGCTTTGAAGTTGCTGATTTTTTTTCTTGGTTCTGATAGCACGATGGTCCAAAGGATGGCACATCATCTCCTTCTATGTCATACAATGGACTAACAATTGGAAGACCTTCGCTTCCAAAGCTGAAGTTTGTTAGGAGGTTAGTACTTTCGTGAAGCCAGTTCAAGTTTGTGAGTTCATCATCTGCTGACTCATTGCCCACTAGAGTGGCCTTTGGTCTGGCAGCATCAACAGCTTCAGGCAAGCTTCCCATTTTGTAAATCTGGCTTAATCCTGCAACCTTTTCAGCTCCTGGAGTTTCAGCTCTCTTTTCTGGAGTCATTCCAATTACTGGACCCATTTACTCTTACAGTTCTGCAACAAAAGAAACAATTATCAACCAATGTTATACTTAAGATCCATAAGCACATGGAAAAAAGAAACACAAATTTAAAAATCCCCAAATCAGAGATATTTTACAATCAATATCCCATATAATATTTAAGTATAATATTTGCATAACAAATGCTAAAGGTTATAATACAAGGAACAGAACTTATTTCATGTTATTTGAAATGGCTATAAATAAAATGCCCCACTATAGCACAACATGTACAGGTGATATTAATAAAGTTGAATGTATTCTGAATACTTATTACAGTCCCTAGCCCATAGTAACTGACTAATAAGTAATGTTTGCTATTACTAAAAATGAATAGATAACTTCTTTCAATTATAAAATTCTATAATCTATTCATCTATAATTTCATTATAATTACAGTGAAGTTAACAGTCACACATATGGCTCAAAATAGATAATAATCAAGTTTAAAATAAGCTCAAACAGTAATTCCAAATAAACTCCTCAAACATGATTATAATACTATAAAGAAATAATTTCTAATATTTTTATAGTATATCATACTAAAAAGATAACATTTCTTAATCACTAAATTCATTACTAGCAAAAACATATTTACTACAGATTTATTATTGTAAATTCCAGTATTTTTAACTCTTCCTTCTATATACTATCTCATCAAGTACTGATGGTGAAAGGTTGACATTCTTAGTCAAGTTTGAACTGTCACTGTATTTTCAAGGGGAGGAAAAAAAGCTGTTTCTAAGCTATCCTTTTTTGTTTCTATTCTCTCAATGATTTTTGTTTTGCTTCTGAAACATACTTCAATTCAAAAATCTTACTATGGTAGAATAACTGACCAAAAAGGAAAGTGGCAGAACTAACGTGCCATTTAATTCATTTTCAATGGTTCAAGGTGCCTCCTTTCCGAATCCTGTGAAAAGCCCTCTGCATCTACTATCACTCTACGCAAGCATCTTACAGGCGTGTAAGTGAAGCGAGAGGAGCGGCCCCGGGGTCTGAGTTTATTTAAAACACAGTTGGCAGGCTTCCCCAAGAATCATGGAAGCCGGTCGATGTTGGACATAAAACAATCTGGATTCTTGGAGCTACTAGATGTAGTCTCAGAACACCCAATTATCAGTAGCATCCATCAGCTAATATTTGGGGTGTAAGCCATTGTCCTAAATACTACATATTGTATCTCAAATGACTATCAATTAAAATGCATAAACTTTATTTACACTATTACTTAGTTCTACATATGATCCTTTTTTCACCCACTGTGAATCCCGTAATAAGAGTCTTTTACTTTTGTACTCCTAATACATCACAACAAAACACTGGGCATAAGGAGGCACTCAAATTATAATTTCAAACTGAAATGAACTTATAAGCAACAAATACCAAGTGCTGGGCTACCTGCTTTTAGAAGTTACTTTATTTTTGAAACAAACCATTAATGCTAGGAAATATCCCCACTAGTTACAATCAGAAAACTGAAATTGCTGTTATGGAAGCCAAGTAAGTAAACTGCCTAATGTTCTAAAGCTAATAAAAAGTGAAGCCAAAATTACAAACTAGGCTGAGTTCAAGATTCAAGCTTTTCTGTCCATTTGAATACACTCAATTTCTTAAGGAACCTTTATTTTTAGCAACACTACCTAAAACAGATACTGTTGACAGTCTCATCAGAAACTAATTCAAATGGTTGCAAATATGTTATCCTTTGAATCACAAGTTTAGAATGAAATCCCGTTACTTTAAGATGCAAGACAATACTATGGCAGCAAATGTGCCAAAGATTACATAAAGCAAATTTGCTTGCTTGCTTACTTTGCTTCAGTTGTTGTGTTCAACTCTTTGCCAGTCAGGACCATAGCCCACCAGGTTCCTCTGTCCATGGGATTCTCCAGGCAAGAATACTGGAGTGGGTTGCCATTTCCTTCTCCAGGGGATCTTACCCACCCAGGGACTGAACCTGCATCTCTTATGTCTTCTGTATTGGCAGTTCGGTTCTTTACCACTAGCGCCACAAATAGCCAAGCAAAGTTAAAAATCAAGGGGAAAGACTGACATCCTCTTAGTAAGGTTTCAATTGTCATTGTATTTTCAAGGAAAGAAAAAAAGCTGTTTTTAAATTATCCTTGACAAGTACTTTAGAACACCAAGTCCACCAATATAAATAGGCAAATGATCTTTCCTTACAAATAAGTACATAAATAACAAACATATGTATTAGAAAATATTCAACTTCACTGATTATTAAAAAATGCAAAACAAAAAGGTGACATTAAGTATGATAATATACTTATCACAGTGTCTGATAAACAAATAATTAGTAACATTATACAAGTAACAATATCTTTTGTTGCTCAATATCAATCGTTTCATGCTAATGCTCAGTTGCTCACTTTTTGCGAACTCGTGGACTGTAGTCCACCAGGCTCCTCTGTCCATGGGATTTTCAGGCAAGAATACTGGAGGGGGTTGCCACTTCCTTCTCCAGAGGATTTTTCCCAACCCAGGGATCAAACCTGCGTCTCCTGCATTGGCAAGCAGATTCTTTACCGCTCAGCCACCTGGGAAGCCCTATCACCAGTTTAAAAAATTTATCATACACAATTTTGGGCAAGGACCTGGGGCCATTTTGAAAAACAAGATGGCAATATGCACCAAGAATCATTAAAAATGTCATATTCTTTGATTTAATGCTTCCACTTATGAGCCACTCCAGTGAAATAATCCTAAGTCAGAGAAAATATTCTATCCTTCTCTTTTACACACACACACACATATACACACAGATGTTTATCCAGGAATTATGAAAAAAGAGGAAAACTATACAGTTTATATATTTTATTATAGAGAAATAGCTAAGTAAATGAAAGCACATCTCTTTAATCTAATATTTAGTGGTCATTAAAAATGAAGATTGTGAAGTAAAAATTAAAGACTGTGAAGTAAACAAAAAAGTTTACTAAAAACTGGCAAAAAAAAAAGTAAGAAATATACAAGAAGCTAACAGTGGTTTATATAGTAACTTATATAATAACTTGTAATTTTTTTCTTTGTTATATTCCCCAGTGTTTTAAGATGTTTATTACTTTTATAGTTTAAAATTAAAACAATATACTCAAGGCAGAAAAGGTTGTGTTAGATTTTTAGTTGTATTTAGATTTCACACAAGACAAAATCACAAAACAGTCACAGACTGATCAAAGGCCTCTAGTCAAAAATAGAAGCTATTTCTCATATTCTTAGTACAGTTTAGTTTGTTACTTAGCTTTTCTGTAACACAAATTAGCTCACTGGTATGTAGGGCAAAGAGTTTAGCACAATGTGAAAGTCACATAGGTTTGTACATGACTTTTCTCAGTCTTTGTCTTTACACTACTAAGTAATAAAAGCTAAACTTGAAATAAGCTAACACAGTGGAAAGCAGTATGTACACAATTCTTATTCAACCCATTTTCCACCCCTTGGCATAGCTTGGCCACTTGCATTTTCTAGAAAATACTTAATGAAATCTCCTCTCCAGATCTTTATGCATTCTACTGCCTCCACAACCCTGTAGCTTCGACCTTTCCTTGCATAACCTTCAATCAGGCTTTATCTTCGTCTTTTTTTTTTAAAAAAAAACCTCAGGTTGCCTGTAATATTTCTTTACTTGTAATAGATTTAATGTATCTTTTAGAATATTCTAGCACGCTTATTTACTCCTGTTAGTGTTCTGGTTACAAAGCTTTGCAAATTTTGGGTGTGACCCATCTCACCTGTGCACAATTTCAGTGTTTTCAGAAATACATAATATGTAACACTGTAACAGAAGGTCTATACATTTTACACGAAAATCAAGAAAAGTTTTAGTTTTATGTTTTTATGAAACTACTTCTTAAAATGAACTGAAAATATTCAGTAGCAAATAATAATACACATGGAAGTTTGATTCATAAAGCAAAATAAGCACAGAAATAAAAGGAAATCTGGAATAGTGATGTAATACTTCCTTTTAGTAATCTTTTAAGAACAATACTTCAATCAACCAAATATAATTGTTACACATAACAAATGTCACTCAAAATAGGCAGTTAAGCCTAGAAAATGTGAGATTTGAAAAATATATCCTAGGCTTCCCTGGTGCTCAGGGGAAGAGTAGTTAACAGTCTGCATGCCAGTGCAGGAGACAGGGGTTTGATCCCTGACCTGGGAGGATCCCACACGTCACGAAGCAACTTAAGCCCGTGTGCCAAAACTACGGAGCCTGTGCTCCAGAGTCTTGGAGCTGCCAACTACTGAGCCCATGTGCTGCAGCTACTGAAGCTGCATGCCCCACAGCCCATGCTCAGCAACGAGAAGCCTCTGCAATGAGAAGCCTGCCTGCACATCCCACTGGGGAGGAGTCCCTGCTGCTACTAGAGAAACCCTGTGTGCAGCCATGAAGACGCCACACAGCCAAAAAGAGAGAGAGAAAAGAAAAATGTACCATAGTTTATTAGGTGTGTAACTAACATAACTCAAATAATGAATACATTCACTATAAACTGATTTCTAAAACCAAGACACTGCTACCAATAAAGGAAGTAAATGTACAAGACAATTTAGCAAAATACACATTTGTGACTCTAAATCTACACATCAGGAAAGAACAGAATTTTCTCCCACAAGGACAATTTTTAAAGTGAAGAGTTCAAATAATCCCAGTATTATCTGAGCCCCTGCCTAGATTTTCACTGTGTAACGGCCATGGTAGTACCTTGAGAAGAGAGCTCACTATTAAAATGTACCATATTTTTTTCACAACTATGCAGCTCACGCATCTCAAAAGGTGTCTAACAGAGAACTGCATGTCTGCATATCATGTTCAATGATACAGTGATACTCAACTTCAGGGCAATGTAAGATTTCATATTGTAATTTTTAGATCACATCGCAAAATGTTAGAGGACAGCACTTTTGCTTAGGTTTGTATTATTAATAATACTGGTCTGAGAGGAAAT